CACTTTCTGGATCAATTAAAGGTTCAGTGAATAAATTCTATTTAAAGCGCCCACTCTTATATTTTAACTCAAAAACTCATCATGCCTTAAAACACGTTTTGACGTCTTCATGACCAGAGTTTCACGCATCCAAATCTTCTCTAAATAACACTGTCCAGTTTAGTTCAATTATAAATTGCAATCTACTGAGAGTCCAGCTGGGATGTTAAACCTTTGAAAAATGTAACAACTTAAACCAGGAGGGACATCACCCACAGATTTTGCCAAATCACCAATACAACCAGCTGGTGCATTTATGATGCCAAGATTGCTACTTTAAAGGGACACTGTAGGCATTGCTCGTGGTGCTGCAATGTTTATATTGCAGCTCTAAGTCTGCCTTCAGTGGCTATCTATGAGACAGCCACTGGGGGGTATTTCCGGAATCGTAACAGACTTTTGGTCAGATTTTCCGCTGTGATGGACCGCCTGGCACTCTGACTCCCTTACACAAACAATAGTATCCCTCCTCTGTGCTTGGGAGATAATTGAATCAGAAATTTTACTAATCTAACCCAATTATCTCCAAGAATAGAAAAACATACAATTTTATGAAACCCCAAAAAGTACCTTAAAAACACATAAAACCCCATATAACACATAAAACCCTGATAGCCCCAATCTGGGTGAACAACATATCCAAAAATCACCCAGATCGGTTCAAGGGTTCAGGAATTTCCTGGAAGTCATAGTTTTGACCGACCGTGCACATGGTCCTATGCCCAAAACAGTTCCAGGGAAATCAGTGCTAACAGTCGGCTAAGTTTGGTAGTCTTTTACAGGTTTCCCTGCAGGGCCCATAGTCTGTTGGCAGGAGGCTGGCAAGCAGGCCCCTCCAAGTACAAGTGGCGAGGTTACTTTCGCCACAGCCACGTATTCGTATTAGACACCATCCATCGTGGGATGGAGGAGGGGATGGAGCTTCAACCCAGTGCCAAGGGACATCGGCGCTGGAATAAGGTAAGTAAATAAAGGGTTTTTAAGTCAATCTTTTTATTATGGCATTTGAGTCACAGGGTACAAAATAAAGAGAGGAGTTATTGCAAGGTAATACAAAATATAGATACCAGCGTGATTTGGAGTATACTCCCAAGAAAGACTGCCACATTTTTATAATAAGTGAATGTAATAACACAAGCTAGACTTGACGTATAAGAATATTTAAAGATTATTTAAACTGTGCTTGTCATAATAAAATATGGGAAATGAAACATGCTAAGTGTTAAACAAGCTAGTAGGATTAGACATACTGGTAGACTGAGTAAGTAGTTAGTATACTATGCACGCGTTTACCCGCTAAAGTCATAGTATGTCAAGATAGATTTTCATGAGACAGACATGGTAAATGAAACATGCTAAACAAAAGGTACATTCGAGTAAACAACGCATATGGTAGCATTCTAAGAGAGACTGCGGATCTATACAGAAGTTAGTCAAGTGTAGGTTCAATAGTCAAAGTAGGATAAGACACGAGTAGGTCTACATAGTGGTGCTTAGAACCACCTGATCGGCATGCGCACCACTTAGTGTATTGTGACTCCTATCCAAGGTTACTAAACGAGCATAGTTATATTGACAGTAAAAATAAGGCTCACGTTGTAGGCGTTATGGTCACTGGCAGCCAGTGCTATTAGTAGAGTGATTATGGTATCATGCCTGTAGACTGCACAGTGAGCCTGTAACCCAGTATATCAAGCCTGGATTGTGTATGTCAGCATCCCTGCCATTGGAAAGCAGCCCCATTCATGCAATACTGATTAGGTAAAATAGTAGGACTAGAGTGTCGTAATGGGGATGGAGTGCTAAGTAGTGTGCGTCTTATGGTTATAAAATATACATGCTAGGATAGCAATGAGTCAGAGTCAGCCTGAGTGGAGTAAGTTGCCATTTAGAACTGGGGTAAAGTTCTCCTTGGGTGGCACACTGGACCCTGTCCTCCGATCATGTTGTCAGCCGATCCCTGTGCTTGGCAGGCTGGAAGCAGATGCCTGAAAATCTCGGAAAGTGATGGCAAGCTGTGGGCAGAAAGAGGCCTCTTCCCAGCCCCAGACCTGGTATGAGGTCAGCATTCATTTCCCGTAGACCCGGGAACTCTGCGGGATTGGGTCTCTCCCTGTATGGGTGCCACGGAAGGCCCTGATCTTCCTCCGCCACCTGCGGCGGGCGGCCCTCTAGCGATGCGGGCAATGCCACGTTGGGGGACTCTGGACGACCCTCAGCCCTGGTGGGCATTTAACACATGAAACGTGGGTTGGGCAAAGTGCTGCGCCCAAGACAGGCCCGTTCCGCCTCACGGCCCCAGGTTCGTCCACCTTCCTTCCTTGGGCAGGAGGTAGTTGAGCAATAGAGCGCTGCTCCAGCTTCTCCCAGAATTGGGTGAGTATTGAGTCCAGCTGCGTGAGCAAAGACTGCATGGGTACAGGCCTTGGTGAGCGATTTGTGAAATAAAGGGTTTTTAACCCTTTATTTACTGGGTAGGAGGGAGCACAAGGGAGGGGAGTGGCAGAGAAATCAGTAGAGTCAGGAATACAGATTTGTAGTAGTAGAGGAATCGGTAGTGTCAGGAATACAGCTTTGTAGTAGAGGAATCGGTAGTGTCAGGAATACAGCTTTATAGTAGTAGAGGAATCGGTAATGTCCGGAATACAGCTTTGTAGTAGAGGAATCTGTAGTGTCAGGAATACAGCTTTATAGTAGAAGAGGAATCGGTAATGTCAGGAATACAGCTTTATAGTAGTAGAGGAATCGGTAGTGTCAGGAATACAGCTTTGTAGTAGAGGAATCTGTAGTGTCAGGAATACAGCTTTATAGTAGTAGAGTAATCGGTAGTGTCAGGAATACAGCTTTGTAGTAGTAGAGTAATCGGTAGTGTCAGGAATACAGCTTTGTAGTAGAAGAGGAATCGGTAATGTCAGGAATACAGCTTTGTAGTAGTAGAGGAATCGGTAATGTCAGGAATACAGCTTTGTAGTAGTAGAGTAATCGGTAGTGTCAGGAATACAGCTTTGTAGTAGAGGAATCTGTAGTGTCAGGAATACAGCTTTATAGTAGAAGAGGAATCGGTAATGTCAGGAATACAGCTTTATAGTAGTAGAGGAATCGGTAGTGTCAGGAATACAGCTTTGTAATCCTGACACTACAGTATCTCTTTAAATAAAATCTCATCACAATATCTTGTAACTATTTAACAATCACACTCTGTAAAGCGATATTAAATATTTATATAGCAGGTTTACTTTAAAATACTTTAAAATATAAGTAAACAGGAGTGGACTAGAATGTCCTAATTGGGAGAGTTAACATAAAATAGTATAATATATAGTCCTAAAGAGGAGGTAGCACTTATGCACTAACGTAGTTAAGATTTATTTAATTTTCTATTTTTAACTCAGAAAGGGAGAGAGGTTCGGGTAGGCACTAGTGGTTGGCTGGCAAGCAGTGCCGAGGTATTAAAGGGACAGACCTACTCTTAGAGTTTCGGTTTGGGGCTGCAATGGGAATTCTTGGGGATATTAGACTCCTAATATCCTTCACTTCTAACTATACCTGATTTATGTCCAATCACTGGGACAGGGCACAGTAGAGGCTTAGACCTTACTAGTAGCTATGTTTTTAATTACCTAGCTGGGTATTTATAGGTATTGTGTGTGTACATATATACATACAAATTATATATACACCTTGTCGTCTATATGTCCTATTTTATATTTCCGTTTCGCTTTAGGACTATTAAAGGTAGAACTGCCCTTTGCCATATTTTGTGTTAACTCTCTAATTCTAGTCCACTCCTGTTTACTGTGTATATGGTGGGCTATTCCCCAATCTCTGAGTAACATTGGACATATTCTGGAACTGATCCACTAGCCCCCCACCTACACTCTTGGATCAGCACCTATTCCTTCTTTATTCCAATTTACCTTAAAATGAAACCTTCTACACATTCTGCTAGTATTCTTCACCCCTCCTTTATTTTTCAGCTACAGTACACACGTTTCTGCGAGCAATATCCCCCCGTCTCTTTTTGTCTCTGCAGTTGCACAGTGGCTCACCCTCCTTGCCCGACTACTCTTCATGCTGCCCGAGAACATCCTCGAACTCTCTCTTTGAACATGGCTGAAAGCAGAATTGCACATTCTGTTTGTTGAAATACTTTGTTTCTCCTGGATGTCCCAGGATGCGTACTACACACGCATCTCAATGTATATCTAGTGGTGAAAGATAAGAAATGCTTTCCAAGTATAGTAATATTCCCTTTCATTTATATCCTCTCGTTCTCGCATGTTGAACTATTGTTCCGTTCCCTGTTTTCTTACCAAGCAATCTTTTTCCTTCTTAAAAACTCTTTCCCGGAGAACAAATTGTGTCACACGTTATGCCTTATATTTTCAAATCTCCAAATAATCTATTTTTTCATTTAAGGCATCGTCTCTCTCTCTCTGTATATTGATTGGTTTCATCCTGCCGATACTCATCCTTATGGCACCGGTCTCTGAATCCAATAACCGCTGCAATAGCAATCAGCACTTCAAACTGCTTTACCTAAAGTGGACAGTCGGTAATTACTTTGAATACCGGGACTCACCTTCACCATCCTTCTCCCATTTCTGTTCTAATTCTACACATTTGACATATTTGTAAATATTAAATTATACCCAATTACTGATGTTTTTATCTGTGATTAATCCAGGGTAGTCATCTTTCATTCTCGACTCTCTGTTTAACGTTTCAATCCTTTTTCGTTCTTTTTTCCTATGTTCCATAGTTTCCTGGCCCGTATGTACTAACGTACTATCCCTTACCTCCTTTATGTAACTATTCTTATTATCCTCATGGCACTCTCGTTAATATCTTCTCCTATACTCCTGTATTCTTTGTCCATGTTTCGATTTTTGCTTTCCTTCCTTTGCCATCTTCCTTTTTACTCTGATTAATCTCTCTCTACGTTCATGCTTTCCTCCCTCCCTCTCTCAATTCTTCTTTGTCAGTCTCTTCTTAGCGTGAGTCCCCCCCCCATCGATTTTAATACTTATCCCTTCTCGTCCTATTTTCCTGTGTACCACTCTTGCATTTCTTTCTAAGGAAGACACAGATTAGATTTGCTCCTGTGTGGGAGGAATTTCCATTTCCAAGTCGCTGTGGATTCCAGTCTCGCCTCACTGATTATTATCATCTTTCTCTGCGACATCATACAGTATCTTATCATACTCAGAAACATGATGGTGTGGGTCATACCAACCGAAAACAAACCGCCTTAAGGCTTGTACGGAGAGGGAAGCATGAAGATAATAAGGAGAAAGTAACGTCTGATGAAAGAGCACAGAAAACAAACAAGTTTTCAAGAAAGATTCTGTGCACTTTAATAAGTATCGGAAACCCGAATCTCACTCCGAGATCAGAACCACATTTAGCCTTCTGATTACCATTGTTCTGTACTTGCCCACTCAGGGAGTGGGACGAGGAAAGTCAGCTAAGTATTATAATTAAAGCTTTCAGTCTCTCTGCATCATCCGTCTTTCCTCACCTCGTTTAAATAAGTGTAGTGATTTAAAGGAACATTACATCAAAAAGTAGAAATAAATCATTTGACAACGTTCAGATTGGCCTACGATGGATGTTGTGGAGGTAAAAAGCACAGCCGCCTGTCAGCAACATCGTCCATTTAAATAATTAACAGTATATGTAGTGCTTATTGATTGAACAACGGCGTATTGATTATAACCTACACTGCTAAACTTTATATGTAATGCTTATTGATTGAACAACAGCGTATTGATTATAACCTTCGCTGCTAAACTTTATATGTAATGCTTATTGATTGAACAACGGCGTATTGATTATAACCTTCACTGCTAAACTTTATACGTAGTGCTTATTGATTGAACAACGGTGTATTGATTATAACCTTCGCTGCTAAACTTTATACGTAGTGCTTATTGATTGAACAACGGTGTATTGATTATAACCTTCGCTGCTAAACTTTATATGTAATGCTTATTGATTGAACAACGGCGTATTGATTATAACCTTCACTGCTAAACTTTATATGTAATGCTTATTGATTGCACAACGGCGTATTGATTATAACCTTCACTGCTAAACTTTATATGTAATGCTTATTGATTGAACAACGGCGTATTGATTATAACCTTCACTGCTAAACTTTATATGTAGTGCTTATTGATTGAACAACGGCGTATTGATTATAACCTTCACTGCTAAACTTTATATGTAATGCTTATTGATTGAACAACGGCGTATTGATTATAACCTTCACTGCTAAACTTTATATGTAGTGCTTATTGATTGAACAACGGCGTATTGATTATAACCTTCACTGCTAAACTTTATATGTAATGCTTATTGATTGAACAACGGCGTATTGATTATAACCTTCACTGCTTAACTTTATATGTAATGCTTATTGATTGAACAACGGCGTATTGATTATAACCTTCACTGCTAAACTTTATATGTAATGCTTATTGATTGAACAACGGCGTATTGATTATAACCTTCACTGCTAAACTTTATATGTAGTGCTTATTGATTGAACAACGGCGTATTGATTATAACCTTCACTGCTAAACTTTATATGTAATGCTTATTGATTGAACAACGGCGTATTGATTAAAACCTTCACTGCTAAACTTTATATGTAATGCTTATTGATTGAACAACAGCGTATTGATTATAACCTTCACTGCTAAAGTTTATATGTAATGCTTATTGATTGAACAACGGCGTATTGATTAAAACCTTCACTGCTAAACTTTATATGTAATGCTTATTGATTGAACAACAGCGTATTGATTATAACCTACATTGCTAAACTTTATATGTAATGCTTATTGATTGAACAACAGCGTATTGATTAAAACCTTCACTGCTAAACTTTATATGTAATGCTTATTGATTGAACAACAGCGTATTGATTATAACCTTCACTGCTAAACTTTATATGTAGTGGTTATTGATTGAACAACGGCGTATTGATTATAACCTTCACTGCTAAACTTTATATGTAGTGGTTATTGATTGAACAACGGCGTATTGATTATAACCTTCACTGCTAAACTTTATATGTAATGCTTATTGATTGAACAACGGCGTATTGATTATAACCTTCACTGCTAAACTTTATATGTAATGCTTATTGATTGAACAACGGCGTATTGATTATAACCTTCACTGCTAAACTTTATATGTAATGCTACTTTATATGTAATGCTTATTGATTGAACAACGGCGTATTGATTAAAACCTTCACTGCTAAACTTTATATGTAATGCTTATTGATTGAACAACGGCGTATTGATTATAACCTTCACTGCTAAACTTTATATGTAGTGGTTATTGATTGAACAACAGTTCAATCGAGTGGAAGTATTCATCCAGACACAAAGCTGGGCAGCCTGTGTCTCGCGAACACCTATATTAACTGAGCGTTGCCATGGTAACATGCGGCAATGCTCTGTAATACGGGCGCTTGCGAGAGTCAGAGACATAGTCTGTACCATGCGGTGGTACAGACAAAAAAAACGGACCACGGGACCACCAGGGATCATCTCGCTGTGTGTCAGCTTACCCCAACTCTCACCACCAGGGATCAACGTCCTCCCTCCCCCCTGCAAGGTAATAAAGGAGATGGGGAGTAAATGTGATATATTTATAAATTAATTGATATTTTATTGTTAAATTAATTAAAGAAGCCACTATCCTATCACCTGCACACACTACACCCACTTATATACACTCACTACACCCCCTTATATACACTCACTACACTCACTACACCTCCTTATAACTACACCCCCTTATATACACTCACTACACCTCCTTATAACTAAACCCCCTTATATACTCTAACTACACCCCCTTATATACACACACTACACCTCCTTATAACTACACCCCCTTATATACACTAACTACACCCCTTATATACACACACACTACACCTCCTTATAACTAATAAGTTATATATACACTCACTACACCTCCTTATAACTACACCCCCTTATATACACTAACTACACCCCCTTATATACACACACTACACCTCCTTATATACATACACTACACCCCCTTATATACACACACACTACACCCCCTATGCACATACTAGACCCCTATATACTACACCCCCTATACATACATTCATTTCCGCAACTTTATACACATCTGCACTATAACCCACATACACACACTAAATCTCCAAGATACACACAATGCAACCTCCTACATCCCCCAGCTACACACAGTACAGCCCCTAGCCACAGATAGTATGCCACAAACAGACCCACAAACAGACCACACAAACTACAACACAAATAGTCTCCTATACACACATGCAATCGCACAAGCACAACACCACAGGGAGCATCCATGCATACACACAACACACTTTAACAGTCTTGTTCCACCGTTGTTCTCTGGTATCCCACTATGGAGGACACCAGAGACAAATCACTAGCAAACGCAGCGCATGTTTATGTTGAACAAAATAAAAATCCGGGACATTTACTCCACCCCGGAGCACTGGATGCGCTGCAGGGGCATCACATTAACATAAACACGCCCCCTTTCTTGCCCCCGCCCCTCATGGTGGGCTACTCTGTCTTTATTTACCTGGGCTGAATTTCTGTCCCAGTCTGGCCCTGGATCCAACTCTTTTATTCTATATTATTTACATGTAGAGGGAGAGAGGGAGGTATGGCCGCCGTCTGCTTGGCTGTCTGTGCGGAGTTTATTAGGTTCCCTGTAGCGTGACCCTCTTTGATCTCAAGGGAACACAGAGTCTTTTAAAAAGTTTTTGGCTCTGACAAGTCTGTTGTCCCGGCAAACCTCAGGTGTGCTTATGTGAAATAAGGAAAGACCTGAGTTATTGAATACCTGCTAGACTGTGGTTTTATTTTAGCGTGAATAGCAAAACAGCCATTACGTTAGTACCTGTACTGCTTACTTAATCAGGCCCATGATCTGATTGTAGATTGTATGTGATATGCAAAGAATTCACTACTATCCAGAATGCAAAAAATTATGCGTTATTCCCATTTCACTAGAGATTACATGAGAATTATGTTGCCAAGAGACCACATACTTGAAAGTAGAAAAACTGTCTTTTCAGTTTTATGTAAGCCTGTAAATCCTGGAAACAGAGATAGGGGTATCGCTGCGAGGGCTGTCTTTAATATCACTGGCCACCCCCCACTCCCGGGCATGCAATTGCACCTTTTACATACATACTTACACAGACATACTGACACACACACATATATACTGACAGACATACTGACGCAGACAGACATACTGACACAGACAGACAGAAACACAATGACAGGAATACTGAAACACACACAGACACAAACACACTGACATACACACAGACACATAGCCTGACAGGCATACCGACACACAGACACACACACTGACAAACAGACACACACGCACAAAAACATACACTGACAGACATACTGACATACCCATTGACAGTCATAGTGTCACACACACACAGACACTTACACTGACATACACATATACTGTCAGACACACTGACAGACAACCTACTGACACACACATACACTAGCAGACATACTGAGACACACAGACATACACAGACATACAGACAGACATACTGACAGACATACTGGCAAACAGACACACAGACATACTGACGCATTCACACTTTTAAATCCACTCCCCATTTCCTACCTTGAAGGATTGCTTCCCTGGTGTCCAGAGTCGTGGCTGATGCTGTTGGGGCTTGCCAACTCCTCTCTGCTTTCCTGGTGTGGCCTCTCCCGCGCCGCTCTCTCTGGAGGAAGTGACTCACTGCAGTCACTTCCTCCCATGCTGCCAAAAAGCAAAGGTGCTTTTAAAGGTCCCCTGCTTACAAACGCCCACCAGGCGGCCCTAAGTGCATGGGCTACCCAGTGGGCCTCCTTAGGATGCACTGGGGGCCCATGGGTGGGGGAGTGGGAAAAAGTTGTCGAGGGCAGCAGGGCTAAAGAGGTCCCCTTGCGCTGGCATTATTTTTGCTCACCGTCACTTTTTGAAGTAGCATTCATTAGGACACTCAGGTAAAAGGGGGTCGTCCTTCTTTCAATCAAGAAGTCTCACTTATGTTTGACGTTTGAGGAAGAAAACAGGGGTTCATAAAGGGACTTCACAAAAAAGCAGCAATACATAAGAGAGGGGCTCATTAATAACCCATTTTATAGGTTACCAGATTGCATGATCAATGCTTTTGCCACAGTGAAATGGATTCGGCTAATAATTTTCTAAACCTATGCTTTGTTTTTTGTTTTGTTTTTTATATATGATATGCAATAAAATAAATTATCCATTAACTTAAATAAATCATTAAAAACTTTTTTCTAGCAGTACATCAACAGCCAATACGAAGAATCCTGTGATTTGATCTAGAACATTTTGATAAATGATAATGAGATTAGCAGAGCACACATTGTATCATAAAACACCATGAATGTTTCGATCACATGCGATTATTAATAATATGATACAACTAAAAAATAATCTTCTTCTATGTGAAATTAGTACTCTATGTTTTGTTAAAATCTCCCAATGTACATCATTAACCGAATTTGGAACCTACCCCAATGTATGTATATCAGCTTGGATGACAACAAAATCAGAAACTCAAGCTCTCATTTACCATGACTGCTGATCCTTGTAAACCTTCCTGTTGCCCAATAAATACA